CCCATTCCTATTCATGCAGGAGATGATTGGTTTTGTTAACTGAGGATTTGCCTGCATCTACATTTGGTAAGTTAGAATATTAAACTAAATCCTCACCTCTGTTCAAAAGAAACGGTGCCATCTGTCCTGACCTATAGGCCAATGTTAGGGGTTGAAGCCTTTAGAGTGTGCTCATGGTGACACATGAGGACCTGCTTGATATTTATTGCCACCGCAAAGTAAACATATTCCAAAAACACCTGAGTAAAATGCAGGGACACCATTTACAGAGATAAACAGGGCAGTAGCATATGTAATGTACTGTAGGCTACAGTATTCTCCAGTGGTTTTGTCCATGTGATGCAGTCTAGTAAAATGGCTTTTTCTCAGCTTTTACTTCCTCACTGCAGGACTAGGGACAGATGCTAACATCCAGAGTCCAGCTGTGGTATTTTTTTCCAGCTCTGTCACTTATTGACACTGTGGGACTCCTACAGGATTGATGTTCTTGCAGCTAACAATGTTGTAGGCAATACTAGAGTTATCGATCCCACGCTTTCCTAACCTCATTCCATACACCCCCCACCTCCACCCACAGAATATGATTAAGAGGGTATGACATCATGGTAAAGTAAATTGAGGGATAAATGAGATGAAAATGTATTAAGTGTAATATGATGCTTTTCTTCTGGTGTTACACTGAAGTCACAGAAAGGACACATGGGGTGGGCTTGAATTCAGATAATCCTGTTTAATGATTTGTCTCTTTCTACATGGAGACATAAAACCTTATTAGGTCTCAAACTATCATTACAGTTGCCTAAATTGTGATTCATAAGGGAATCACTGCAATAAAACATTGGTGCCTCTTCTCTAAAAACCAAATTTCCTTGTGTTAGCAGCACCACAAAATCTAAATTAGTTATAGTGCAATATTAATAAAAATGCATGTTTTTTCTTGAGCTGAAATTCAGGTCCTCTGACCATATTTGGCACTTTTGCATTACCGGGGTTTGTTTCCATGCAGAAATGCATTTACCAGATGTGTTTATCAGGTTTAAACTCATTTCTATGGCTTTACCAACTGACCTTTTTCTCCTTCTGCTCCTAACCATAATCCCCCATGTCAGCATTCAGAGTAGTGTTATTTGAAAGAGAGAGAGAGACTAATCTTTTCCAGACTGACCCTTTTTTCTCTCAGTTGTTCAGATTTTCCTGGTGCAACTGTGTGTCTCTGACTGGGACCTGGTGTGTGTCAGGGGGCTATGTTGAGGCGATGTGCACAGGCTGGTGTGAGGAGAGATGTGCCAGCGTCAGTGGAGGAGGATGGGAAGGTAAAGGAGTGGATCTTCATTTATGGCTGTGGGCGTCACTCTTGTTCTCAACTCTGTGGGGCCAAGTGTACCCCCAGTGCCCAGACAGCTGCCACTGCGCCTGGGACACAGCCACAGTGCTGTGCTCAGATGCTGGCCTACGGGAGATCCCAGAGGGGATCCCACCAGAAACTGTTTCTCTCCACCTGGAACGCAACTACATTCGGAACATCCCCGAGAGTGCTTTCAGCAACCTAGTTCACCTGCAGGACCTCTATCTGTCCCACAACCGCATCGACTCACTTGCCTCAGGGGCCCTGCGGCATCTGGGCCCCGAGTTGCGCCTGCTGGACCTCTCATATAACCAGCTGAGGCAGGTCAGCAGGGAGGAGTTTGGCTCCACTCAGGCAAAGACACGCCTCTACCACAACCCCTGGCACTGTGACTGCACCCTCCAGGAGCTGGTGGAGACTGTGAACCTGGAGCCAGAAACGGTGAATGGGATTGTTTGTGAGAGCTCTGTGCGAGCAGTGGGCGAGGGGAGCAGGTGGGAGGACCCGGGGTCAATGGGTGAACATGCAGGTCAGCCATTGGTCAAACTGTTGGATTCTGGGGTGAATTTCTGTAGTCTGCAGAGGAAGACCACCGATGTGGCCATGCTAGTGACCATGTTTGTGTGGTTTTTTATGGTCATTGTGTATGTTGTGTACTATGTTAGACAGAACCAAGCCGAGGCCCGCAGGCATTTGGAGTACCTGAAGAGTTTACCCAGCCCACGCAAGACCCTCACAGAGACAGATACTCTTAGCACTGGTTTCTGAAATCGTGCTCTGCTTGAATAACCAAATGCCATTTTTATGGAGAACTAGTATCAAAATGCTTCATGGGATTACTGTTAGCTGACTGTGGAAGCAGATAATGGGGGAATAAATCATATACAGCTGTGTTTTATAATTGCAATGCTTTATTTTATTACTAGTGAAACCGCCTGTTTTAATTGATATTTTCCCCACCAGGTTCTTCTCAATTTAAGGAAAATTAAGAAATGAATGTTTCTGTACTCATTTTACCAAGTGCACTGAGCTGCAAGAAAGCCAAAAGTTATAGCACAACAAAGATGAAAGGATAGAATAAGAAAAAAGGAAAGACATTCTTTGAACTTTATAACCTTCAAACCTCACTTTATAGTCCCTCTTTCCTTCTCTATTCATCTTCCTCCATGCCTCATACTGTATTCTTTATCTGTCATTAAGCTCTAATTAGGAGTTTTTCATCAACTGACCTTTAATGAAAGGCCCTAATCAGCTGGAGCGTTTTTATCAAGTCAGTGTGCAAACTCAAAATATGCGTCTTCATCTAATTGCTTTTGCATTTGTGCATGTACATGCGTATGTGTAGTGTTTTTGTGTATTTGTTACAGCAGCTTTGACTTTGCTAGCATTGATTTTGCGTGGATAATATTTAGGCCTTATCCAACACATGATCACTAAGCCATTTGTTTCGGTCGGTGCCAGAGGAGAACTGCTGAGCTAAATTTGCTCTCAGGAAGCCATTTGTGCTGGAGGTGAATAGTTTTGTCTCCAAGCTGCTGCTCTGGAGTATTTGGACAGCTTATTGTGCATGCTGTTGTCATTGTTTGGTGTAGAGACATTTCAACCAGATTTAGAAATGAATCATTGTAAATTAGATTAGTATAGCCAGTTATGATGAGAGAAGCTGTTTAGTTATAATTAATTTCTTGAAGCCTGTTTTTTCATTCCTCTCTGCACTGATTGCTGTGTACAAATTGTTCCACTTCTCATTTTCCATATAGCTGAGACTATAAGGAACAGTCTCTGATAATAAAAGAAACATTTTGTCAGTTAACCCATTTCTGATATATAGGGTATACTCTAGGTGAATACCCAACTCAGTGTTAGCTCAGTCTAATTGGACCAAAACTTGACTTGATTAATATTATACTTTTTAAAATTCCACTTTAGTAATCATATTTAGTGTGCCGTATCTAGTGCAGAGCATTATTCTCTGTGGGCAGGATGTATTGTGTGGTCAGTGTATCAATGTTCACAGTTATAAATAGAAACTATAAAAGATTAGTCATAAACGTTTAATTTGTGATTAGAACAGTGGTCCCAAATCTTGGGGGACTCGCACATGGGGTCACAAATTCACAGTGAGGGGTCACAAAATTACTAACGGCATACAAAAGCTGAAAGTACACAAAATGACGTTCATTTTTAAAAACTTTTTTCTAATGATTTTCTACTGGATAATGTTAGGTGCTTATTGAAACAAAATGAGGATGTTCATATTCCCTCCAAATTAACTGTCATAACCCTCTGGTCCCTTAATATTTCCTCTGGCAACATCATGTCAAGTTTTTATTTGTCCAATTCCTTTAAAACAAAATGGCTGTGAAATAATGACATTGTTCTCAGCAGCCTCAGCTGTGCTTTGTGTCTTGTGCTAATTAACAAATGTCAGTGTGCTAATCTGCTAAACTAAGTTGGTTAACAGTTAAACATTATAACATTAAATGTTAAACATTATACCTGCTAAACATTGTCATAAAAGCATTATCACTGTGAGCATGTTAGTATGCTGACTTTAGCATTTAGCTCAAAGAACTGCTGTGCAGCAAGCATTGATGAAGTCTCTTCATGTCTGATTAACGTGTACAGTTGTAAATTTCATGGTTATAATATACTATAGTATAACAGTGCCCATAGCTCACAATTGGGTTGGTGAGTGGAAGGACAACCTAAAATAGGTCAGTTTTCTGTGTACTGTGATGTGCTAAGTGTGGTGTGTGTCCCTTGTACTGTAATCTACTTAGAAGGAAAGATTCAAGCCGTTGTTGTTCAGGGTAAAGACATACTGTGAATTTGAGCTAGAGCCAGTTAAGCTATGAGTAGAACAATACTGATTTGTTATGATAAATGTAAAACCTGATCTTTCATGGTCACAAGTTAAAAGATTAGGATAAAAGGTGAATATTTGTTATGTGTGACATTAAAAACAAAACTGTGTGGATGAACCAATGAAGCATTATTAATGTAATTTTACATTCTCTGAATGTTTCTTGAATGTTAGCTGTCTGTAAGAAATCTTACATTTGATGTAGATGATACCAGACTCCAGTTTCCCTACCATTAATATAATCTTTTACTTCTTTGATTCATTATGTCACAATAATAATGATAACACAAACACAAAGCCAAGCATGTCCTCTGTGTTTAATTCTTTCCGTAGGGTTTTTTTTTTTTTTTTTTTTTTTTTTGTGATGTATTTCTGTTTGGTGATTTGTTTTTGCTCCTGTTTGTCTGCCAATTCCAGGATAAAGTCAGATTGGAAACAATACATTAAAATAATAAATGAACTACTGTATCAAAAAGAGATTTCTATATATATAAAAAATAAAAGGAACATAGTTCTACATTGTTCATAGAAATGCGTCTACCTTTTATTGCTACTGTAGGTTCAAAAGGCAAGAAGATGAAGTAATAAAAGTACAGTAAGACATCAGTTCACATGAATGAGCTGACAGTGGTCGGCAATGTTTCCCATTTCTATTCTACCATGCATTAAAAAGAAAAGAAATTATTGAAAAGCTATTTTACATATATGAAATGTATTATATGAACTTTTACCACCTCTTTCTTCAACATTTTATTTTTGAAATCACCATATATCAAAATCACAATGTCAACATATACATCCATTTCTCCACTGGCTTTTCTTGAAATTTCTCCCCCTGGAAATACAAGTGGACATCACTACAAAAACACAAAGTGGACGCAGGGCACAACGAAATATTTAGGTGCAACTAATTTTTTTTTTTAAAGAGGAGATTAAAACATTGATATGACAGATATTTCAGAAAGGGAGAGAAAACAGGTCATAAATAAAAAAACGACTTCAGCCTTAGTTTTGTCTTTTATTTCCAATTTACATTAATTAAAGTGTAACAAAAACAAGTCATGATCATAATAATATAATACTATTATCAATAATAGAAATATACACAACCTCACACAAATGAACCATCTGCACTGGCTGTAAAACTGGAGCAGCAAAGTTAAACACAACTTAAAACTCTACCGCTGTGTAAATGTGTCCACTGAGGCAGAAGGCACACCCTGTGTGAGGGAACTGAAGGGAGGAAATGAGTGGGTCTGGGGTCAAATGGGGGCCAGCACGCTGGGCCATAAATATGGGCCTCGTAAACAAAGATTCGGGGGAGAGACCTTAGTTTTATTTGTGAAGTTGTATGTTTTTAGTGTGAGGTAGCTTTAAAAAAAGAAAAAAAACGTTTTAAATTTGTTCTAAATTGTACATCCCTTGTTTGTAAAACTTCATTTGGGACATGTTTATTTATCTAAAAGGGTTGAAGCAGGAGGGTGGGGAGGGTGATTTCATCCTGAAATCCAAAATCCCAGGGTAAAATGCTCTCTCTGACAAACTGTACCTGTATATATATGTATACACACATATACATATATATACATATATACAACTCACTACACATGAGTATATGGTTGTTAAAAAATACAGACTTTTACAACAATAGCACCATTGACTTTTACTATAAAACACAGTAACTTCTTGATACACACTGTGGTGGAAGAAAGAGGAAAACCTGAACTTTCTAAGTAGCTAGACTTTTTTTGTATTAAAGAGTTGTGTTCGCTTTAGTGGATGTGGTACAGGAGTTGGGTGATTAGAAAACATGAGGAAGTAAGAGAGGAAGTTGGTGGATAATGTTTTTTAAAATATGTGTAAGTTGGATTTTTATTTCTTAGCAACAAACTCAGTCCTCCCACATCTGGGACCCAAATCTAAACAATAAATAAATAACACCAACACGTTTTTCTCTCTCTAGTTCTCTGGTATGCTGCTCTCCTCATACTTCTTGCTCATGGATGTGGGGCTGGGGTAAGCAGAGGGGGTTGCTGTTCACCCGGGGTGAAGTGGGGACTCTTGGGGAGTGCCTGTTGTTCATAGGGGAGGCGATTTGTCTGGAGGCAAAGCTGGATGAATCACAGATGACTGTTGCTGGTGTCATTCAGTGCAGATATCCTACAGAGTTCGACTTGGAAAAAGCACTTCTTAATTAGAAAAAAGTCCCATTTAAAAAAAGTGTCTTGATTTTTCTTTCTCTCTCTTTCTCCCCTCCTTTATCTGAAGTGTGCTCCTCTTTCACTTGTAAAATTTCACTTCTTCTTTCTCTTCTTTTGATCCCTCATTCTTTACAAGAAGCAGACTGGCCCGATATCAACACCGAACTCCTGGTCTGCTCCGCCGATATCCATGGGGGCAATGTCCACAATGGGCAGACGAGAGGTCTTCTGCGATCTGTATTCCATCACTGTCTTGCCCCACTGTCCCGTGTGTTTCTACGCAGAGGCAAACAACACAACAGATGTTAAATAATATATGACTCCTCAAGAACTGCAGAGAATGAGACTGGTCTGGTGAGTCTCGGTGAACACCAGTGTACAAGAGACAGCGTTTAATGTCTGTGATGAAGGGAAAGTGAATTGTGTTCCAATTTTTACATTTTTCTTACTGTATGTTCTACTCTAGCACATGCATGTATAATACACTTGCATTTTTCTTACTGTATGTTCTACTCTAAACATGAGTTAGCACATGCATGTATAATACACTTACACAAAGAACTGTTATAGTACTGTATAAGCAGTCTTACCGTGCAGCTGTCCTCCATCACGCTGTATGTAAAACGGCTGTTGCCCTCAGCTCTGATCTCCACATCGTTGGAGCCCTGCAGCAGGACGGCCTTCTTGAGGTTGCCCGTTGAGGCGTCCATGTAGGCCACGCTGTTCTTACAGTGGTAGGTGAGGTTTTGAGAAGCTTCGGTGGACAGCAGTCTCAGGAACGTCATCTGAATGGCAGCAGTGTTGGGTGCCAGGCTGTCATCACCATAGCTGAACTGTTTAAGGCCACAGGTAGGATGGAAGAAGGGATGATTAGATTATCTTTGTTGTTATTGCTGTTTTATGTTTGGTTTTGATTACTCTACCTGTTATGCATTCCTGATGATGAGTAAACCTGTCATTTATGGTTTTAACAGTTTTTACAGAGATGCTCAGATTTTTTTACGCGATATTGTTCAAATTACTCTGATGATGTAAAATGCTGTTTGTGTGACAAGTAAGACAATACTAAGGATGGGGTTGGTGGCATACTCTGTTGTCAGTCAGTGTCTTTAGAAGTCAACACTGTTGAAAAAATTCCTATGGACAAGGGCCTACAGCAGATTGATTTTAATTATTTTTCAGTCCGATTTTGTGTTCCTTCACATCCAAGCTGCCACCACAACAGGCCAAGCTGTTGGCATGGCAGCTTGGCCTAAATAGACACAAATGTTTGGAGCATTAATTCAGTGTGTGGGCTACAATCCTTTTACTCTACTAGTAATGCAGAAGACTGAAAATCGAGGTGCAACTCACATGGAATCCTCCATTCATTGTCTCTCCGAACCAGATGTGTTTGCGATCCTTGCTCTTGCTGGACCACCAGTTCTTGCGAGGGATTTTAGAAGGTTTAGGGTAGACACAGGACTCCCCTGTATCCATGTTGCAGAACACCTTGATTGCATCGATGGTACAACCCTGATTGGGATCAATCCAGTACTCTCCTACAGGGAAGATCAAGAGAGGACAAAAAAAAAGCAGATCAGCCTCAAGGATGCCATTTTTCTCTTTACATTATACCCTATCGTGGGCAGCACGGTGGCGCAGTGGTTAGCACCATTTCCTCACAGCGAGAAGGGCCCCACCCGAGACCTTTCTGTGTGGAGTTTGCATGTTCTCCCTGTGCTTGCGTGGGTTCTCTCTGGGTACTCCGGCTTCCTCCCACAGTCCAAAGACATGCAGCTTAGGTTGATTGGTGTCTCTAAATTGCC